TTGAAAGGGCCATACATGTTTGTATGTATAGTAGTGTAGGTCGTAACGAGTCTTTAGCTCTTTCTCAAATACCAAAGTAAAGAGCCTTTGATACTGTCCTACGTAAACATGATTCGCATAAATCAATTGATGATAAGCCGGTTAATTCCAAAGTTTCTTATGGTTAGAGTTTTGTTATGCGCTTCTTGTTAATGCTAGGGAGACGACAATTTCATACATTAATCTGAATTGACTCCAATTTAACTTAGATATGAGCATTCAATACATATAGTGTCTTGTCATTTGAAACTTTGACCGTACATATCAAGTTCATAAATGTCATTTTGTGGAATGACATTAAAATAAACACATTGTTTTGATAAACTAAAATATCACAATTACTAAACATAGGTTTATAAACAATATATCTCGAAATGGAAACTGATATATTTCATGCACTAGTGTTCAAAGAATAATGGCAATCACATTATGTGAGAACGAGACCATACGATAATTTTAGCTCATTTTTTCTTTTTTAATTATTTAAATATTAGTAAAATATAAAAAAAAAATACAAAAATGAATTAAGGTAAAACAATATTTTAAGGTTTTTTAGGATCAAAACCACAAAATTTTATGATTTTGAATCTTTCGTGCAAGTTGAAAACTGTTTTGACCGTTTCCATAATTTTTTATAAACCACAATGACTAATTTTTCCAGTTTTGTCTAAAAAAATGAAAAAATACAAACTTGTTTTTTGAGAACCGGTTTTATTAAAATCGAACCGTCGATTAGAAATAAAAATATATATTTATAAAAAGCTGAAACCATTTTTCTGGTTTTTCAAAAAAAAAAAGAACCGAACTTATTTTTTTTAATGGAATTTCATTTTAAAAAAAAACCAAAAATTTTAAACTGGTTATAACGAAAATCGGTAGTTATGTGTCTCTACATACATGATATACATATATTTCAATTATATTTATAATAATGAGTTCTTAAAATGAAGAAAAATGAAATATACGACACTTCCAGATTTAGCGAAGGGACTAACTAGAGGGTTAGGTAGGACAGATTGGAGGTGGCTTGGCCTCCGGGTTGGTGTGATGTGGCATTGCTGGCGCCGTACAACACAACTCCATTATGGCTGACACCGATAATTTTAAATTCGATGCAACATCATAAACTCTCTCTCTCTCTCTCTCTCTCTCTCTCTCTCTCTCTCTCTCTCTCTCTCTCTCTCTCATTTAAATGTGTCATTAACTTTGGGACCAAAAAAACATAGATTTTTCTTTATTGCAAAGAGTCCAACACCTTAAAACAATTAATCATAACGATAAAATTATATAGGTCAATGTACAACAAACCGTAGCACAACATGACTTATTTTAATCATTGTTTTTTATGATTTTTCTATTTTTTTAGGTTTTTTATTATCGTTTTTGGGATTTTAATTATCATTTTTAAAATTGTCATTTTAATTAATGAAATGCTATTTTAAATTTAAGTTTTATTTATAATTAGTTGTATATCTGTGTATATATATTTTTTTAAAATACTTTTCGTATAAGAGGATATGGGGCCTATATGACATGAAGGTTGGGAGGTTCAAATGATATGGAAACTCTTGATTTATATACTCAACGCCATGATCTGATTGTATGGCTTTAACGGTCTTTTCGGACTGATTTTCTACTTCATGTTAGAAAACATTGAACATTTCAAAGGCTTTATGTTTATGTGTAATAAGATAAACATAATCATATATATCAAAATCATTAGTAAATCCGATGAAGTGGATGTGACCATCTCTAATGGAAGTCTTGAAAGGGCCACACATGTTTGTATGTATAGTAGTATAGGTCGTAACAAGTTTTTAGCTCTTTCTCTAATACCAAAGTAAAGAGCCTTTGATACTGTCCTACGTAAATAGGATTCACATAAATCAATTGACTCTAAGCCAATTAATTCCAAAGTTTCTTATGATTAGAGTTTTGTTTTACGCTTCTTGTTAATGTTAGGGAGACGACAATTCCATAGATTAATCTGAATTTATTCGGATTTAACTTAGATATGAGCATTCAATACATATAGTGTCTTTTCATTTGAAACTTTAACCGTACAAATCAAGTTCATAAATGCCATTTTTGTGGAATGACATTAAAATAAACATATTGTTTTTATAAACTAAAATATCACAATCACTAAACATAGGTTCATAACCAATATATCTCGAAACTGAAACTGATATATTTCATGCACTAGTGCTCATAGCATAATGACAATCACCTTATGTGAGAACGAGACCATACGATAGTTTTAGCTCATGACTTCTAATTGCTTCAACATTGACTCTTGTATTGTTTCCAATGATTAGTCTAAATCTTCTCTTATCTAGCTTCATGCTTCTTCTTGATCCATGTACATTGTTACAAACATGAGTTTCACAACATTTGTTAAACACCTAATAATCACATGAAAAAGCATATAGTTCTACTGCATAGACTGGTAAAAATACAATTGACTTGTTGGACGATCAACCTCTGTTATCTTTCAGCTTGAGGAGATACTTATGATAATTTCTCTTTGGGTGTATGGTTTCTCTAAAATGGAAGCAATTGGTATCCTTTGATGGGATAACTTGCTTCTTCTTGGGTCAACAAACAATTGTGTTAGTGTATCAGATTGTCCTTGCAGATGTTAATGCAATGTGATTTAGGCCTGATGCTCTCATATCATGAAAATATATGTGGAGCCCAATATTGTCTCTCCAAAAATGGCATATTAAGGAGAATGAAAACTCCAACATATATAGTTATTTTCATGCTCTCATATCATGAAAATATATGTAGAGCCCAATATTGTCTCTCCAAAAATGGCATATTAAGGAGAATGAAAACTCCAACATATATAGTTATTTATAAGCATACATCTGATACTTCTCTAGGGTTCTCACTCATTCTTGAACTCCTTTTCAACCTCTTGTGAGTTTTTCTGTCAACTAACATGTCTCACACAAGCGAAAGTGGTATTATATATTTTAATTTACACCAAAAACTTGAACTTTAATTTGGAGTGGGAACATTTAAATGAGTTAAGTCAAACATGTATTTTTGAAATATGATAAATATTTATGCTTTAAAAATTGTATCTATCTTGATGTAATTTTTTTTACTTGTCGTGTATTTTTGTTGTGTTGTGTCATCGATTGACACCCGTCGGGTCAAGTCAACCGGTTTTGTTTATGGAGTTTTGACAATTTTCATATGGTTATAAATAATAACTTCATGGTTAAGTGTTAATAAAAATTAATATGGGTTAGTTCTACATTAATCTCGGAGGTTGTATGTGTTTTTCCAAATTCTAATGGTCAAGTCAACCGGTTTGGTTTATGGAGTTTTGACAATTTTCATATGGTTATAAATGATAACTTCATGGTTAAGTGTTAATAAAAATTAATATGGGTTAGTTCTACATTAATCTCGGAGGTTTTCTGTGTTTTTCCAAATTCTAATGTGTTTTTTTTTTGTGTGTGTGTTATAGCATGTGCACGATGACTATTTAGTAAACAGAATATAGACGTAGCAGGTTGTAGCAATTCGTACTCTAGAAGATTTCGTGAATGTAACTTCATTAAACGTATATGTCAAAATTTTTGCAACATTTAATACATATTATGTAACAAGCTATCTCTCTAACAGTCATTTTTTTCTGTATTTCGAAAATTTACTTGGATATAAAACTTTATCATTATCAATCCATATATGTCTTCTATAAATTACAAATGGTATGACTTATGAAAAAATTGCCAATAGTCTTCATCGACATCAGTATTTTTTATTTTTTTTGTAGCTTTAAATTTAACATCTTTAATATGTTTCTTCATATTATTAATACCATTTAAATATCGTATTAATTACAAAGGGTAATAATAAAGAGTTGCTAAGTTTATGAAGCATGAACACTTGTAGTTATCATATTTATCACAGATTAATTAACATGTATGATATTAAAACTAGGGATGGCAAAAAGCCCGATACCCGATGGGGAACCCGAAACCCGCATCGGTTTTGACTGGGGAATCCCCAAGTTGACCGGGGATGGGGACGGGGATGGGGAATCCCCGAATAAAAAAGTGGGGATGGGGATGGGGATGGGGATAACCTTAATCCCCGACCCTGGACCCGCCCCCGATATATTAATATATATAAAAATAATACAAAACATATATTTATAGTAAAATTTACCATACATAAAATTTGATCCAGGTAGCCTAACTCATTAGTAATTACTTAGTTGAAATTATACTTTTTTATTTTATTTTATCTATCTTCAACTCATGTATAATTTTTTTTCCATTTGGTTTATCTATTTTACCTCAAATATGACTCTGATAATTTTTTTCTACTTGATTTTCATGTATTTATTTAAATTTTCTAGAAAATTTGTTTATATTTTTTTATGCAATCTAAGGATATTTTTATATTTTGGAAAATATTTAAACTTATACTGGAAAAAATTGAAATTTAGAGTTTTTCTTTACGAAATTTTTTTCATATTAAAAGAGGAAAAGAAATTCCCGATTCCCCGTTGGGGATCCCCAGTCCCCATTGGAATGAGAATTCGGGGATGGGGATGGGGATTAAGGTCCCCTGTATTCCCCGCCCCCGTTGCCATCTCTAATTAAACCGTAAACTTAAAACCATGTATCTGTAAGGATGGGTAATTTTGAATATAAGGTACTATCCTTGTATGTTTGGGGTTTTCATAATTTAAATAAACATATTTTTGAAAACATAATGCTTTCACGGTTCATTGTATTCAAAATTTTTTATATAATAAGGTGTATTAGTATATGAAATTAAAACATATGGTAATTTAGGAAGGAATCTCAATACAGTAAAGAATTTATAAAGAGAAATTAAATTGTAGTTAATGTTTACGTTAACTAAATATATCTATAAATTGTAGCAAAACCCAACATTACTGTCTCGTATATGCGGTTTACATTTCATTCAAAATGAAAATGGTGTCGGGTGTTATTGTTGTTGCAACCATGGTGGCAGTGATGGTGGTTATGGTGGTGGCAGAGGAGGCAAATTGTGATGTGAACTTGCTACAAGGTGCATGTGAAATGCAACTAAAAGGAGGAGGAATGCCATCGGAAAAATGTTGTGGTATCTTAACAGAACAGTTACCATGCATATGTGGTTACCCAGAAAGACATGATTGGCCCGGTATCACCAAAACATGTGGTTTCTGTGATGTCCCATTTCCACCTTGTCCTTGAATTGTTTTTGTGTTTGCATTAATTACTCGAGGATTTGTTGTCCCAAAGAGGATGCATTTTGATTTTGATATCACTTGATTACCAAATGTCCTAAGTAATATGTGTTTGCATTACAATATATTTACTTGATTATATGCTTTTTTGTGCATCCTTTGTCCTTCCACACCTGATTATTTTTATTATTTTATTCACTAGCTCATCAAAGACTGAAAATTGTAACCGAATACTACTAGCTACTAGGTCATCTTGATGACAGATTTACACATTTGAATTTTGTATCGGATAATAGTCTCTATAACTAACATGTCCCACACATGCGGAAGTGAGTTTATATATTTAAACTTTAATTTGGGCATAACACTTGTGTTTGGCGCGTCACAGCTAGCAGATAAGCTAGCTTATTTTTCGAGCTTTTTTATGTTGTACTGTTTGGTAAGCCAAAAAGTAGCTTATAAGCTAGCTTTTTGAAAAGCTACTTAGACTAGCTTTTTAGGAGCTTTTTTAAAATTTTCCAAATACACCCCTTAATTAATTATAGAAACACATACTCCTACATGTCCTTTTATGTAATTTTATATATTTCAGCTAGCTTTTCAGCTAGTTTTACCAAACGTTATTTTTTATCAGCTAGTTTTTCAGCTATCAGTTAGCTTTTTATTTAACAGCTAGCTTTTCAGCTATCAGCTAGCTTTTCAGCTAGTACGCCAAACATATGCTTCAAAATTTTGTATATATCTTGATGTTTAAAAATTTGTATATATCTTGATGTAAAAAACGTGGAAACAATGCTGAAGAATTGTGTTAATCTATATCTATATCTATACTATCTTATAATTGAGGTTATTCAAATGAATATGATTTAAAAAATGTCTTATTCTAACTCCAAAATTCTTCAACTTATACTACTTAAATATTCAATTTCTTCAAGTTATACTAATTAATTTTGATTGATTACTAAAATTATTTTGCCTATATAAGAACAATTTCACACTTATTTCTCTTTTCATTTTGTTTTTAGTATCTAGAGTATAAGTATTAATATGGAAAGAAGGTACGTTACATATACATACATGTACATATAAACAAGATTTAAGGTGATTATTTATTTTTGTTAATTTATATTTCTATTTTAGAGTTGGTATGTGATGTTAGAGCTTATAACTTATATGTATTTTCTTTAAATCAAGAGATAAATTCACTTTCATTATGATTATTGGGGTTTGTATAATAGTTGGTATGTGTGTTGTATGAATTGAAGTTGGGACGTCAAATTCCCAAATGTTCCTTATTAGTAAACTGCATACAATAGTTCCTTATATGGGCACAATAGTTCCTTATATTACTTCCTTAAGTTGTTAAATAATTTATAATGGTCAAATTGCAAATACACTACAAGTGTAGTTTATATATATTGTTTTTTAAATTAATTAACAATAATCATAGTTAAGTATAACATTAAATTTAAATTTATCTAAAAGTAATTAAAATAAATGTGTTTCCATGACAAAAATTGTTTAAATTTGAAAAAAAAAACCATCATTGTAGACATAAAAAATAGGTAGTGATTTGCACACAATATTTTTTAGTCATACACAAAAATTTATGTTTTAGATGATTGTATTGTACAAATGTATAAAACATAATTTGTTGTGTATGACTAAAAAATATTATGTACGGATCATCGTCCATTAAAAAATAGAAGTAATAAGTAGTTTTTAGATTGATTAATTATAAAGTAGTTAAAAATAAAACTAAATTAAAATCTTATTTATATAAAACGGCCGGAAAACGTTATTAAAATCATATGGTTCTTTAAAGATAGATAGTTATTTACTAATAATAATTTGAATTTTAATTTACAAAATACATTCAAATATTACAATACATGTGTTCAAGTTTCATAATCTAATCAACACCATTTTTACAAGAACTATGGAAGGATCCCCGCAACATCCCCGCGTTGCGGGAGTCAGAAAGTGTTCGATTGTAAAATATGTTATTGATTAAGTATATGATAAAAAAAAGTATTTTGCTACCTTATATGCATGCACACAAGTCGAAACTGGAAATATGTGGAAGCTTTGGTATAATGGATATGAGTTTAGGTATTTGTTTATTGTTAACATCCTAAAAGATTGACGATGACCTAATCATAACAATTTTTAAAGAGAAATTAAATATCCTCCTATATCTTAGTCCTACTATCCTCCTACCCACATTAAATGGTGACAAGTGGACTAAAATATTATCAATTTCATTAAATGTGTCACTAAATGTGACACATGTCAACATTTGATATGGTAGGAAGATAAGTAGGAATAAAATGTAGGAGTATATTTAATTTCTTATTTTTAAAACATACGACTAAAAAAGCTAAACATCTTCGATATTCATAATACTAGTTCAATACATATCGATTGAAGACAAACGGACAACAAGCTGCGCCGCTAGCCCTTTCTGGATAGCAAAACCAATTCTTTTAAAAACAACATTTGTGGATCTAGGAGATATGACATTAGAATGCATGACCCGTTGGACTCTTAGAAGGAGCTTCACCGCCTCTGGTGCGAGAAAACCAAATGTATCGAATGCACAAAAGTAATATTAAAACATTACTCATAGTTCTAATGAACAAAAGTACCCTAAGGGATAATATACCACAAGGAAAATCACCACAGTTGTAGGTATCCTCCTGCTTGATTTAGTCTCAAATACCTAAAAATTTATATAAAAAATATTTACCAAGTGATGGTGCAAATTAATTGTAACATTCATAAAATTCTGGAAAATTTTAAACTTTTTAAACAACCCAAAATTCATCATTGTTTACAAATTGTTTTCAAAATAAGTGTCACGTCAAAGAAATCCCAAAATCGTGAAATAAAATACGAGGAGGTGAACGATCACGCCTTCGCCTTCCCGCGATCTTCTGAAGTACCTGAAACATAATCCAAAATTGTAAGCCCAAAGCTTAGTAAGTTTCTCCCAATATACCAATACATAGCAAACAACACAAATATAATAACAACATACAATGGATCCATAACTAACAGACTGGATTACCTCTGAGCCCACAACATAAATCTGGCTTGCCCCCTGGGCCCATAACTTATGTCTGACTTGCTCCCCGGCCCTCAGCACGAGTCTGGCATGCCCTACCCGACCATCAGCTCGTATCTGGAATGTTCATGAGTCCTCAGTATGAGTCTGGCATGCCCTCCCTGACCCTCATCTCATATCTGGCATACTCCAGGGTTTGTTGGCTACAACACAAAGCAGTACAGCCTCAACCCAACCCACACGACATATCAACAATACATATAAACGGACAGTGTCACAGACTCACAGGTAGTCCTACATATCTACGAGACTAGCATATCAATAACTAGCATATTCATGCATATCTATTCCATAATCAATATATCAGCAATGTCAGGTTATCAAACCAAAGAGTCGGCCTTGGTGCCTTCGACCCGAAATTATTGTGAGGAAGACTCACCTCTCAAAGTCGAACTGTACTGAAACCTCTTATTTCTGACTCACAGAAAATCCCGAACTATCACAATATACAAACACTCAATTAACAATTGGGACACCATTCTTGACTAAGACCCAAACATAGGGTAATTGTCCACTTAACCCTTTCCTAATTAGGCCAAGGCCCAAAACCAAATCTTTGATCCAAAAGGCCCAACTTACTTCAAGGCCCATGATTGGCCTAATTTTCCAGATTGGGCCTAAACCCCTTATTGGGCCTCATCCAAAGGTTCGATCCTCCAATTAGCCCAAAACACACTTATCAAGATGGTCCATTAGGGCCCAAGTATCAAAGCCCAATAGATGGCCCAATAACCGAAGCCCAAAGTCTGAATCCACATAGAAGGCGTACGCGGGGCGTACCCTTTTGGTACACTGGGCGTACTCTGCCTCACATTGACCACCATCGGGGTGGTTGACTCAGTACGCGAGGCGTACATCAACTTACGCGGGGCGTACCCTCGTAGGCCATAAAATCCTTATAATTGCTTAATGGATTAAGAACCTAAGCTTAAACTTCATATTTATGACTCAAAAGCACTGTAGAACCATAAAGTCTCAAACTTCAAGACTTTGGTCGTCCAAAAAGGGGTTAATGCATGGTCTTAGTCCATTAAGACCTCCCACAAAGAACAAGGGACAAAACTAGCTCAAGGGACCTCATTTTTATGCCTTGGGACCCAACCTAGGGTCTGAAAGGACAGCTCAACACGATCAAAACAAAGCATGCACAATATTGGGACTCTTGGGACAAGAAGAATACAAAAAAGCAACCAAAACCAGATCTAAAAAATCCAAGAATAAATGTAGGAGCTTTATACCTTCTGAAGCTTCCCAAGAAGATGATAATCCCAGATCTACAAGCTTGCTTACTTCCTTGACTCCTTTGATGCACTAAATTCTCCTTTTGGCACACAAAAATCACACTATAATCTCAAGATGATCACTATGGGGGTTAGGGTTCTCTCAAAACGGCTAAGGGACTTGGAGGCTAAAAGAGTGAGTCAAAATGACCCATAATGATGCTTAAATACTCCTCAAACCCTAAAATTTATGGTTTCACCCGGACACGCGTACGCCCTGCGTACATATGTGTACGGCCAACGTACTAGGGCATGCCCTAGTACGCTTAACGTACCCACATGTACGCTTAACGTACAACTCAAGCTCCCAAAAATTACCAATTTGCCACTAGGGCTTCTTAGGGCTAATTCCAACCGACATCAAGGACCAAAATGACATTTTAAAATACCAAGGGAAGGATTCGAAAATACCTGAAAACTCGGATGTTACGTTAATATTACTTTCATATGAAGAGGATAATTTTTAATATTGGGATGATTACTATCTTGATTTTATCCATGGTCCCATGGTCACAAAAAGGTCCATAATGCATGTAAGATAAGAGAGTTCTGATGACTGCAAAAAGAGTAGAACCCACAAAAAATAATTAGAAATACATA